GGGGGGCAAGGTAACGCCGTTACGCGCCAGAAGATACAACACAATCTCCACCCAGATCCCCAGGATCCCATCCAAACCAGCCTCCAGAAACTCCCCAGACGGCCGAGAGGGGCCCAATATGGCACTCCTCCTCCTCCTCCTCCTCCTCCTCCTCCTCCTCCTCCTCCTCCTCCTCCTCCTTCTCCTCCTCCTCCTCCTCCTCCTCCTCCTCCTTTCGTGTTTTCCAGAATCCTGGCGTGCTTCCTCGATCTTGGCCCCCCGGGGCCGGTCGGCAGGCCCCGGAGCCATCCAGAACGCCGATGTGGAGGGAAACGCTCTGCCCCGAGAGAAGGGGGCGGGAGCCCTGGGGCCGCAGATCGCACAAAAAACACGCCCCCGACGGTCGGAAGAAGCAAGTAGAAACACGAAGTAGGAAGGCGTCGGAAATCCGCCGACCCTGTCGGCGTGTGTGAGGCGCTTGGCTGTTCGAGTTGTCGTCTCCGTCAGTCGTCGTCTCCGTCGTCCCCTTGGCCTGCCCCTTCCTCCTCAAGCTTGACAGCGCTAGAATGATCTAGCAATGTCGTATTCGAGTCGAAGGGAAGCCCCTTCCCTTTGATCCCTTCCCCGCGCCAGGGAGGGAGTCCGGTGGGGGTGTTAAACAAGTCCCCTGGGAACAGCAGTTACGTTGTGACCGCTGCATCAGTTATGGAAGTTATGGCGACACTTGCTGTCGACGGTTTTTGAGGGACCGTTGAAATGGAGTACGGTGCGCGCGCGGATGGTGATGATGCGGATGATGGTGATGATGATGGTGATGATGGTGATGATGGTGATGAGAAGTGGATCCAGTTCTAAAAGAAACCTATGAGGGGTGGATCCCGCTTTACTAGAAGCCTATTGGGAGTGGATCGAGCTCAAATAGAATCCTATTAGGGGTGGTTCCAGCTTTACTGGATTCCGAATCGGGGTGGATTCAGCTCTAATAGAACCTTGCTTGGGGGTTAATCCAGCACTAATACAGTCAGATTCGGATTCTATTAGAGCTGGAGCCACTTCGAATTCAATCCGAAGTGGATCCAGCTCTAGCAGAATCCTTTTTTTTTTTTGTTTGTTTCTTTTTTTTTTTTCCGGAGTGTATTCAGCTCGAACAAATGGAAGCTGATTAGGAGTGGATCCAACACAAATAGAATCCGAGTCGGAGTGGATCCAGCTCTATTGTACTCTATTAATGGTGGATCCAGCCCTGATAGAATACAATTAGGGGTGTATCCAGCTCTAACAAAATCATACGAGTAGGGGTGGATCCAGCTCGAATCGAATACTATCCAGGGTGGATCCAGCTTGGGTAAAAAAACCAATTAGGTGTGGATCCAGCTCTAGTAGAATCGCATCAGGCGTGGATCCAGCCTCAAAAGAATCCTATCAGGCGTGCGTCCAGCTCGAATAGAATCCTATCAGGTGTGGGTCCAGATCAAATGGGATCCTGCTATGGCTGGATCCAGCTCTAATAGAATCAAATCACATTGGGAGTGGATCCAGCTCTAATAGACTCGAATCCAGCTTTACTAGAATCATGTGAAGGGTTGATACAGCTCTATACATCCTATTACAAGTGGACCCAGCCCTACTAGCATCGTATTAGGGGGTGGACCCAGCTCTCATAGAACATTATTAGAGAGCGATCCAGCTCTAGTAGAGTCCTATTAGAAGTGGATCCAGCTCTGATAGAATCCCTTCAGGAGTGGATCCAGCTCTAGTAAAATCCTACTATGGGTGGATCCAGCTCTAGTAGAATCGCATTAGAGGTGGATCCAACTTTGATAGAATCCTGCTACGGGTGGATCCAGCCCCATTAGAACCCTAGTAGGCATGGATCCAACTCTAATAGAATCCTATACATTAGAGCTGGATCCACCCCTGATAGGATTCCTTTAGAGCTGGATCCACCCCTACTAGTCTTCTGTTAGAGCTGGACCCACCCCTAAATATGATTATATTAAAGCTGGATCCACCCCAACTTGTATGCTGTCTGAGCTGGATCCGCACCTAATAATATTCTATCAGAGCTGGATCCACCCCTAATATGATTTTATCAGAGCTGGATTCACACCGAATCGGATTCTATCAGAGCTGGATCCATCCCCAATTAGGTCCCAGTCAAGCTTTTAATGGGATGTTGTTCAAGCTGGGTCCACCCTAATAGGATTATATTAGAGCCGGGTCCACACCTAATGCGATTATATTAGAGCTGGGTCCATTCGATTGCATTCCTAATAGGATTCCATTGGCGCTGGATCTAGCCCTAACAGGATCCTTTCAGAGCTGGATCCACCTCTAATACGATTGTCGTTCAAAGACGTGTTGTTTTGCATTCCGCCGCAAACCTATTTCTTTTGAAACGCCGTACAAGAGGAAATCCAAGTGTAAGCCCGGCAGAAGAAATTGTATTGAACGCCTCTTCCAGAAAGGAACCAAAAGGCATGCCCATCAGCAGTAAACGTGTTGCAGCTCCCAAAAAAAGAAAGATTCCTGAAATCTGCCACACAAGAAATTCTGTTGTAATCCGCAACAAAGAGATTATGATGATTGTACTCCGCAACAGAAGGGTTTCTATTGAAAGCCGCCACAAAAGGGTTTCGATTGCAATCCGCCACAAAAAGGAATTTAATTGTAATATGACACAGTGGGGTGTCCATTGAATTCGCCACAAAAGAATCTCTGTTGCAAGTCGCCACGAAAGGAATCCTATTGTTGCGGACAGGAGAGTGTTCGGGAGGAGCAAAGCAAAAAAACAACAACAAACAACACAAACAAAACAACTGATCATCCTTTTGTTTTCCGCCGCCGCGGGAAGAAACAACAAATAAGAGAGGATAAGTTTTTGGTTGATTTCCCCTCCCCAAAAATTTCTCCTTACCGCCGCAATAGGATTCCAATCGTGGCGAATCACAATAAAAATCCTTTTGCGGCGAATTCCATAGAAATCCTTCTGTGTCGGATTGAACTAGGATTCCTTGCGCAGCGGATTGCAATAGAAATCCTTTATGTGGCGCCTTCGAATAGAAATCCTGGGAGGAAACCAGGAGGAGAAAACAAGGGAAAAAAACATGAACATACAAGGATATTGTAACACTTACCATGTTTTGATTTTTTTTTGCGTGCTCGCATTGCAACAAATGAAGGAAAACAAACAACAACAACAACAACAACAACAACAACAGCAGCAGCAGCAGCAGCAGCAGCAACAACAACAACAACACAAAAAAGGTGTTGCCTCTCCAGAGGCTCAGAACGCTGTGATTTACAAGGTTGTTGCTGCCTTCCGGTGCTGAAAGCATTGTAAAACGCAATGTGCTGGACCTCCGGAAGCTGAAAACGCTATGTTTTTGTAATGGTTTGCAATGCGATGTGTTTGATTGTTTCCTTTCTCCTCCTGTTTTCCTCCTAAGTACCCCTGTAGTACTGGGGCCTGTAAAATTGGGCCTGTGATATTGGGGCTGTAGTATTGGGCCTGTACTACTGGAGCTGTAGTACTCGGGCGGTTATAATGGAGCTGCAGTAATGGGGCTGTACTACTGGTGCTCTAGTACTGGGGCGGTCGTAGTGGGGTTGTAACATTGTAATCCACAAAACACAAGGAACCGAGAGATTTAATTTGCGATCCGCCACCAAAGGGATCATGTTGTAATCCTGCGCTCAGCCAATCCCGTTGGTAAAAACAACACGGTGGAACGCTCTTTCATCGTCGCTGGCTAGCCTTGAAAACTGTTTTTCCCAGGGGACTTGTTTAAAACCCGTACGGGGGGGGCCGGGGTCCAGGGGGGGTCCCGGGGGGGGTCCTGGGGGGGTCCCAGGGGGGTCGCCACCCAGATACGCTTTCCCCCCCTGGGGGCCCTGGGGCCTCAGAAAATACTAAGACAGGCCAAGAATGCCCCAGAGGCCAGGCCGCCGAGACGGTCCAAGAGGGTCCCCAATCGCCAAACGATCGGTTCAAAACGCCTTCACGCCTTCAGACTGCCCAGGAAGCTTCTAGGACACGCCAAGACGCCTCCAAGAGCACCCCCGAGAGGGCCCCAAGAGGCCAGATTCATAGATGTTCGCTGGTTTTTGTAAGGTTTGGGCGTTTTCGCCTTTTCCACATTCCCCCGCCCTGAAACGGCGCCAGAGGCCCCCAAGATCTCCCCGAGACGGCCCAAGAGGCCTCCAAGAGGGCCCCAGAACAGCCCAAGAGGACCCCAAGACAGCCCCAAACGCCTCCAAGACGGCCCCAGATGCCCCAAAGACAGACCCGAACGGACATTCCGAGCCCTCGGCCTCAAAGGCCTCTAGGAGGCCCCAGGAGTTTCCCCAGAGGCCCCAAGAGGCCCACAAGAGGTCCCCAGGAAGCCCGACGAAGACCCCAAGAGGCTCCCAAGAAGAGGCCCCTAAGAGACTCCCCAGAGGCCCAATAATTCCTCCCCAGAGGCCCTCGAGACTTCCGAAGAGACCCCAAGAGCCATCCCTGAGGACTCTGGCCCACGTCAGCGTCGTCGTCGTTGCCGCCGCCGCCGCCGCCGCCGTCGTCGCCGTCGTCGTCGTCGTCGTCGTCGTCGTCGTCGTCGTCGTCGTCGTCGTCGTCGTCGTTGCCTCCCTTCAGGGTCGGCGGCACCGGCCGAAATGCCTTCGCATTGGTTGGACCTCCGCCCGCCCCCTCAAGACGAAAGAAGGAGACCGCTCGTTCCTGAGAGCAGGAGGGCGCCTGCAGGAGACTGGGACCTGGGCATCCAGACATGCCTACTTTCAGCGACTGGCGTGCACCGCCGGATCGGTCTGGGCCTCGGGGGGCCTGTGGGCTCAAAGGGGGCCCTCGGGGGGGAGCCCCTCGCCTCCTCCCTCGCAACGCCCGGGGCAGCGGGGGAGAAGGCGCCACACGACGCAAGGCGAGGGACCCCAGACCCTGGAGGTCATGACTCCTGTCACAGCGCAGACCCCCTATCGGGGATCTGGTGTCCTGCAAGGTCCTGCCTCCTGCCTCCTCCTCCTCCTCCTCCTCCTCCTCCCCCTCCTCCTCCTCCTCCTCCTCCTCCTCCTCCTCCTCCTCCTCCTCCTCCTCCTCCTCCTCCCCTCCTCCTCCTCCTCCTCCTCCTCCTCCTCCTCCTGCCTCCTGCCGCTCCTGCCTCCTGCCACCTGCCTCCTCCCCCTCCTCCTACTGCTCCTCCTCGTCCTCCTCGTCCTCCTCCTCCTCCTCCTCCTCCTCCTCCTCCTCCTCCTCCGCTTCCTCCTATTCTGGTCAGGACCCTGCAAGATCCTGCGCGCTAGCCAGGGTCAGTGCACCCCTGGCTCTGCAGGATCCTGCAAGCTCCGGCGCTCCGCCTGACCCTCGCCTGCATTGACCCCCGTCTCAAGGCTCCCGACCTCAGAGGTCTCGGCCCACTCCCCGGGGCCGGCTCTTCATCCTGACTCGTTCTTTGACGGGCCTCTCGTCGTGATTTTTGTCACCGCGCGAGCATGTCTGGGTCGGCAGGGGGGGCTCTCATGGGGGCCGCGGGGGGCTTCGGCAGACCTAGCAGGGGACGCCGACTGTCCACCTGCACTGGCCCTGGCAGGGCGAGTCCCGTCCCAGTTGGTCGACGGGGACGTCCTGGCGGGTCCTGTGCGCAGGGCTGGACTGGCCAGGATGATCCAGACCCCCTCGGGTGATGAAAAAATCAAGGTGTCTCTTATCGTGCTCGGCCCTTGGGGGCCCTGGCTGGGCCCCGGGACCGTGAACAAGAATCCGCAAGCCAGTCCCAGGAGATGGGTCGATGCCTCTGGGGATCGGAGCTGTGAAAAAAATCATGACGTCGGGTGTCTGGGTCCAAGGCCCTCCCAGACTCTAGCCAGCACTCAGATGTTCGAAACCCTGGCCTGTGGAGGACCACCTCCTTGACGAAGCCAGCCAGATTGGCCTTGTCCTTCAGGTCGAAGACCTTCGATAGGAGGAGGAGGAGGAGGAGAAGGAGGAGGAGGAGGAGGAGGGAGGAGGAGGAGGGGGAGGGGGAGGAGGAGGAGGAGGAGGAGGAGGAGGAGGAGGAGGAGGAGGAGGAGACCTTCAACACACAACGCTTGCCGTCGTGAGTGGTGCCATGCACTGCGTGGCGCGCTCCGGATCCGGACAGCTTCTCCATGCGGTCCAGCTCCGCGTCGTAGTGCGCGAGGCTGCGCTCCATGGCGAAGATCTCCAGAAACCTGGACTGGTCCAGCGGTCCGAGGGCCAGTAGCTCCTCGGGAGTCTGGCTAGCGTCTACACCCTGCGAAATGCTTAAGAAATCATGGGTTCAGAAATTCATAGTCTCAGAACTTGAATAAAACCCAGAACTTCTATCAAAATCTTGGGATTCACATTGAAAAGTTAAGAATAATCGAGACTCTGGACGAAAACTTAGGTTTTCTTAAGCATCGCCTAAGGTGTACATGTTGTTGCCTGATGGTGCTACAGACAGCCAGCATAGTAGGGATGCGCGATAAAGGATGCAAGGGCCTCGGACGCCCATTTCGAAGCTTCTCGAGCGGGGCGCGGCCAACGAAGCTGGCGAAGGATGGACCGAGGAGGCAAGGATGCAAGGGTACCCTTGGCAAGGTTGCCCATCCTTCCTATGCGGGTTGACTGTACTTCTGATGCTGCATCAGCGCGTTGCATGTGCACCGAAAGTCGCCATCGTGGTTGTTACTGCGACGCTGTTACTGATGCTCCTCACCCGCGATCGCAAGGGCAATAGTGGTGTCAGAGCATGCGCAGCCTTGCGCATCGTGCGGCTTCGCAAAAGATGCAGCAAGGTGCACCAGACGTGCGCACTGACCAGCCTTGGGCGTTGACTAAGACACACGCCCTCTGCTCTGAGCTGTGGGCTCTCGAGGCCGTGGGCGAGCCGAAGCGTCTCGAACACTGAACCCTCGTCCTCGCACCCTGAATGGTATGCCGTCACTGTGCCACCATGGGGAACGCGAAATCAGGGAAAGAAGAGGCCTTGCTGGCCACGGCGAGCCTCGGCCACGAGTAGGGTCCCCCACCCGAAGGGACGGCCCGAAAGCCAGGGCCCCTCCGCAGCCCAAAACGGGCCTCCTTTCAGCATCTTGACTGTGCCCGCCATGCCTACAGGTCGTTGTCATGAAGGCCGAACGACGGATCCGGATGCCCGTCCTAATTCAAATCATATCACGCACTCGCGCTTTCTCTGGCCTCCATGTCGATCCCCCTTGCGAGGTCCAAGTGGACCACATACAGCGCCCCGCCGTCAAGGAGGAGGAGGCCGAGGAGGAGGTCCCCATCGCCTCCATACCATCCCATCCTGGGACTATGCGTGACTGCGTGACTGCGCCCGCACCCTCACTGCACTGAGAGCCCCAGCTCGCGCTCAGAAATCCGATCGGCGTCCTCGCGAACGGCTCCGTCACCGAGCCTCGGCAGAGAGCCATCGCGCCCAAGACGGCCCGGAGACCCGGGACGAGCCCTTTTAAGGCCCCCCCTGACATCCCCCGGTCTGATTTGTTCAATCCGCGGCC